AACCATTGACCAAGTTCTTCATTTTTAACCCCACCCAGAACTCTGTCTCAGAGTGCAGGCCAGCACCTGTGGCCTTCTCACCTCTGGTGAGTGACTCAGCCAGAGAAAGCAGGTCATGGAAATGTTAGCAAGCAGACCCCATCTCTCCTCCACTGCCACCTCTTAAAACTAGAAATAATAATTAATCATGATTACATGATGTTTAAAATGTAGTTGCTCTTTCATTTTTAGTTCTGAGAGTATAAATCATACCTAGCATAATGAATGTCATCTATTCAAAATGTAGACCACAGGCTGTGTTCTGATGGCATTAGGAGGAAGTGTGTGTATCCAGTCCTGCCCCTGCATTCCTCTGTGATCACTGTGTTCATGCAGGATCTGAACCAGGCCAGCCTCCTAGGGCCCAGGCTCCAGATGGCCTTGGAGAAGAGACACCTGGCATGCAGAGTAACCAGTGGCTCTTAGTACACAGACCAGCATGTAAGGGGATGGAGGCTGTTGATTTTCACTCTTGCAGTGATCTGGAAAGATGTGGCTTTAGCCTCCCCACTGCTGTATTTCATTGTCTTATTTCACATTTCTTAACGGTCTCTGGCTTTGGTACGGGGTGGTAGTGAAAATGCATGCAGAGAGATTTAAGAGTTCTGAGTTCTGCTTGGCCAGAGCAAGTGATGTTGTTTTGACAGTTACAGAGCCCAAATCGCTGTATATCTGGGATGTGACTGCGTCAACAGGATGACATTACTTACCTGCCCAAGAGACTCAGTTTCTCCTGTGGAACATGATCCTCTCATTCAAGATAACGGCTCTCTTTGACAGGAGCTGGAATGGAGCAGCCCATCAGCACTGCTGTGGACACGTGGGCCCTGAGGGAGCGTGGGACTCTTCTCCCGGCCCCTCCGACCTACTTCCCTCCTCACATGGCCCAGTCTAAACAGCTTTTTTTCTCTTGCTAGGAGTGGAGGAGGAGCATCAGTCTGTTTCTCAAATGCAGCGCCACACTTGAAAAAAATGCGTCTCTGGCTCTGGAGATGCCAGAGAATTCTGTCTTTTGGGATGGATGTGCATTTGTGTAACGTGTGTGGCTCTGGGTCCCCTCTAGTGAGAAGCATTGAAGTTTGGTGTCTTCAAGCATTTTGACCTATGTAAAGATCTTTTTTAAAAAAGATTTCTTTATTTTTATTGGAAAGTTAGGTATATACAGAGAGGAGAGAGAGAAAGAGAGAGAGAAATATCTTCTGTCTGATGATTCACTCCCCAAATGACTGCAATGACCAGTGCTATGCCAATCCAAAGGCAGGAGCCTAGATCCTCTTCCAGGTCTCCCACGTGGGTGCAGGGTCACAAGGCTTTGGGCCGTCCTGGACTGCTTTCCCAGGCCGCAAGAGGGAACTGGATGGGAATTGTGGCTGCCGGGATTAGAACTGGCACCCATATGGAATTCTGGCACGTTCGAAGCTAGGACTTTAGCTGCCAGGTCATGGCGCTAGGCCCTCTAGGGAAAGATCTTTGGGGGGAAATGATAGAATAACCACATATATACGATGCAGGTCTCTTCAGGAGTTGGCTTGGGGGCTTTGTATTTAAAATATATACATATATTTAAATGTGTAGCTTTAATTTCAAGGTAGAAGTAATGGATAGAGTTGTCCAGCTCAAGGGAGAACTACGTATCAGTCAGTAACTACTGATGAGTGAAGTCCTTCCAGCTACCCTTTTATCAATCTGTCATGTGAGACACAGTTTTATACAAGTTACCTGCTCAGAATTGATCTTGGATCCAGTTTCATCAGGGAAGCTTCAGTATTTGTAGAAGTCACACTCACCCTAGCACAGCATATGGTGGTGTATGGCATAAATGTAAAAGCCCGTGCTGTAATTCCCCAAAAAACCAGACTGTCTTTTGCTCCCTAATGCCTTCAATCCATCATGCCACAGGAAGGTTTCCAGGAGGATATAGAGACAAGTTGGGTGGTTGACCTTTAGAGTAAGAGGATTGTGTGGTGGCTTGGTGGTTGGACAGCTGGGAGTCAGGAGTTCTGGTTCTTTCTACACTTCTACCTTTTATGAACTGTGCAATTTGGTCCAGATACAAGGTCTTCAGATCATGCACTTGTTAAAGGGACTGGGTGATGTCTAAAATTCCATTGTTTTCATTTCAGCAAAGTGATTGTATAGTTTCATGATTGAGATGGTATACAATGTTTCTGATTCTCTCCCTTGAAGCTGTGGTATGTCTATTAGATTCTCATAACCTGTGGAAAATGAAATTTAAAAGATAGTGAATTTTGGTATTTAATATTACATCCCTGTTGTGTTTAGCAGATCACAATTATTTAAGACTTATTTAGAATGAGAGAGATTGAGAGAGAAATCTTTCATCCTCTGGTTCACTCCATAGATGGCTACAGCAACCAGTGGACTTAACAAATAATTGAAGTCTAGTGATTATTTTTTGAGCAAAGGATTCAGTGCACTAGTGAATGGATTTGTACTATTTAATTAGAAAGCTATAAAATGCCATTACCAGTTCATTATTAATGAAGCTTCTGAAATATTGATTGAGTGAACAGTGTAGATAAAAAGATGTTAGAAGTGATGGTTTTTTAATTCATAAATTTCTAACACATTACCTTTCACAACGAAGTAGTCTTTTATTACAAAGCAGTCTGTCTGAGTATATGGAATATATTGAATTTTCAGGATGCTGCTCTGTTCAGCAAAATGAAACACACTTCTTCCTCTATGAAAGGCTTACAGGAGGACATATACTCAGGGTCTCAGTGCTAGGATGGTTATCAGGAAGGATTGATCGGGAAAGCCTGAGATGTCTGAGAGAGATCCTCCATTGTGGATTCATTTCCTAGATGCAGACAATAGCCAGGATGGAGTCACACAGCAATCAGGAGCACAGAATCCTGATTGCCCTCATGGGAGACCGATTTATTTGAGCCATCAACAGCTTCTTTGTAGATTGGGCATCAGCAGGAAGCTGGACCAGAAGTAGGGGTGGGACATGAGCCCAGGCACTCTGATATGGGATGCAGTTATCCTAGAGTCTTAATTGTTACACCAAACACCTATACTTCTTGTTTGATCATCTCTGTGATAGTCATTTAACACTAGTGGGGCTGGAGACTGTGGGGTGCTAGAGATGCAGTCATCAAAGAAATTAGTAGTAATTTAACAGTTAAACTAGAACTCAGATATTTCCTGAAGTTGTTATGTAATAAAATATCCTTAAGAACTTCTGAATCCCATTTTGGCAGATGGAGGCGTGGGAGAGAGAGAGGTTCTGAAATGCTGTTGGCCCGATTTTTTATAGGCAAAGAAAGGCTGATATATTGGTAATTTTCTTTAGTTGTGCCTTCTGCCCCAAAGAGACATTAGAAAATAAAGGTAATTTTTTAGGATTCAGTCTGAATGATGGGAAGGAAGATTAGAGAGCAAAGGGCTTACTCTGCAATAACATTAGGAGTATCTCACATGTGCCAGCACTCTTCTTTTGAGCTGTTGTATAGTGGTGACTCGAGTGGTTGGTGAGAGGGAGAATTGAATTGATTTCTGGTAGGAACTCTTGGAAATTATAAATGAAGGCAGCCTAAAAATAGGAAACATGCACACTTAAGAGCTGTTGGTGCATGCCTAGTAAACTTTACTGTTCTCACATTTCTTCTATATAATTCAGCTTTGATAATTTTTAAAAAGATTTATTTGTTTGAAAGAGAAGGGGTGGGAGAGAGATGGAGATACTGAGATTAAGATCTTCCATGTTCTGTCTGCTGGACAACACCCCAGATCCTCCAATGGCCAGGGTTGGGTCAAGCTGAAGCAAGGGCCAAGAGCCTCATCTGGGTAACTAACATGGGTGACATGGCTCAAAAACCTGGGCTATCTCTTGCTACTTTCCCAGGAGCATTGACAGGGAGCTGCATCTGAAGTGGAGCACAGGGACCCAGACTGGGCCCCTAATGAGTGCAGTGTTGCAGGCTGTAGCTTAATCTATTACAACACAGTATTAGCCTCTGCATCTTGCTTTTAAAGAAATAAAAGAGTAAATGACTTTTAGCAATTCACCCATCCACATAAAACTCAGGAGAATCTCCTTCACAAAGCAATGTTGATGTTGTTGATAACGTGACTTTTTTTTTTTCTATTCCACTGCGTTTTTAAGTGATATTTTAAGTGATATTTTATCCTGCGAATTGATGTTCGAGGTTTCTTCCAGATCTAATTGCATTTTGTATATTTTCCAGATTGATAATCAACTTAAAGATCACAGTTTAGTTACCCTCCCTCCCTCCTGTTTTGAAATTGTCCTGGTAAGGCATGATGCAGGTTCTAGTGCTGCTTAGTATGTTCACATCTCATGTGAGTGTGCTGATTGAAGTCCAGCTGCTCCTCTTGTCATCCATCTTTTCTGCTGATGTGCCTGACGAGCAGCTCATGATGGCCTGAGTGCATGGATTCCTGCCCATTCTCTTGGGAACCTGGATGCAGTTCCCACCTGCTGGTTTTGGTTTGTTTAGCCTTGACTACTGGGGACATTTAGAGAATAAACCAGTGGTTAGAAAGTATTCTCTGTCTCCCTCACCCCCATCTGTCTCTTCTTTTTTCCTTCTTTACTCCTTCCGTTTTACTCTCTCTCTCCTGACCTCTATCAGATTTTGTAGATCTTGTTCATTTAATCTATATAACTACTTTCAAATAAATGATTTACGTATATCTTTAAAAATGATTTTCCTCTCTTCTCACCTGCTTACCTTTACCTCCTCACCAAATTTTGCCACACTTACTAAAAATGTATTCTGTGGTTTGAACTGCCGTAGAAAGACTCTTGCATTTCAGATGAATTGTTTGTATTTCCAATTTGGCCAACTGGAGCTTCACATCTGCTGCAGCTGTTGCTGGTGTTCTGTGCTGTACCATTCATTTTCTGTAGGCAGTTATTCAGTTCCCTCTTAGGTTACAATATCGAGTCTATCCTACACCAGAGTGAGCCAGGCGTATCTGACTGTGCTGCAGATAGCCTGTGTGACCTTGGGAAGGGCACTCATGTCTCTTGAACTCTGTTGACTCATCAGTAAAATCAGAGGATTGCACTTGGCAAGCCTTAAAATCCAAGATCTGATGCTGACATTGCATGATACGGTTTTTTTTAAAGTGTCTTAAATTGCAAAGGAATTATTCAAGTTGCATTTTGAATACAATACAAATTTGTAATGTAATTCAGTAAAAATTGCTAATCCATATGTGGGATAGAACAAGTATCAGGGGTTCCGTTTTGAGTACACGGGATGGTTTGTGGAAATGTGCAAAGAATGTTAGTTCTTAATATTACTGAATTTGTTCTAAACTTAAAAAGTAGGTATATTTCAATTTAATGAATGTTATAATTTTAAAAATTATTATAGTATTATAGTTTATAAAATTGGGTTTTATTTATTTGGGTTAATATTCAGGTTTAGTAGACTAAAGGGATAGACTATATAGGTTTTTTTTCCTACCAAAAATAATGTTTTTGATCTGGATATTTCAATTTCTGAGAGATAAGCAGCAGCATCATCTCCATTTTCTTGAGAAAGATTATGATGCTGAATAATTGGATTTGTCTTGCTCAGGAATCTTTAGTTGACCATTAAGTGTCTTGCGTGATGGTGAAAGGAAAATGGCTTTTAAGAATGAAGTTCTTGATATTGTAACGTGTTGCTAAATAAAACTGACAGCATAGTGTTCTGATATCCTGTTTTGTTTATCTTCATGTTCATCATGGCAAAGAATGTATTTGGTAAACCCTGGCCATTGTAACTATTCCTGCTGATGTCTTACCATCATTTTCTTGGTTTCACTGTAATATAAATTCACCAACCATGGCCTCTACATTCCTGTAGATGGAGAATACAGGCTAACTCTGGAGGTAAATGGCCTGTGTCTGGGAGAAAGAAGCTCCTTGCTACTGGATGTTCATATTAGCTGGGTTGGGTGATAGTGCTGGTGGTCAGTGCTTGGAGGGTACTGGGATGAAATGTTTAAGTACCTTCCATAAACTTTACATCTTGGGTTGTTTGAAACCCTTAAAACACCCTTTATTTTCCAGCTTCTACTGTCCTTGCCAACAGTACAGTTTGATGTTCTTTCTCAGAATGTGAGCGTTTTAATTTTCCAACTTGTGGCTGAAGAAAGCTTAATTTGGAAAGTGGAGCAGTTGCCTATTGATGGCTTGAGGGCTGTTCCGTACTTGCATGCTTATGTTTGCGTTTTAGAAATAGATGTAACATTTCAATATTTTATTATGGTTTTGAAATTTATCTGATACTTCCCCTGTTAGCATGTTAGAGTTTAAATTTTATGGCAAAAAATACTTCATTATCAGGGTTGAAGCTTGTTTTTTAAGCATTGTTTTCAGAGTGAGTTTTGGATGAGTTTAAGGGTCTTCTTACCTGTTTATAACATTATTTCCTTAAAAAAAGTATGGGAAAAATTAATGATTTAGTATAACAGTTACAGTGAATGTAATGTTCTCCTAAAATTGCTTAAAATTGGCTTTGAATTTAAAAATTGATCAAATCTTAGTGCCAGAAAAATAAAAGAAGATATAACAAATTAGTCTTTTCGTAAGTAATGACCTGTTTATGAAAATAAGGGAAAAGAGTATATTATTTCACCATCTCCTACACAACTGTTTTTTTACATTTTTTTTTTTTGCTTTGCTGCAATAGCCACAGATTGCTTCTTGAACTACAATAATATTTTTTTCTCCCATCTATGTAATCACTTTTGTGAGTTTTGCATATGCTTGATCAGTACCATTGTAATGAGCATAATGATTTGTAATGGGATATCCAATTGTGTCACTGTAATCTTTCTGGTATTTAAGATGATGATGTAGGGAAAATATTGTTGTCTATCCTTTTAGAATAGTTCTTTAAGTTAAAGTTGGTATTTCTTGATCAGAATTATTTTCATGGTCTTGGAATAATACTCTTCTGCACAGTAGAAACAGATTTCATTGATTTAATCTGTATAACAGAATTTCAAATAAATCCGTGCATGCTTTTCAGAATACAAATGTATGTATTGATTTCCAAATGAATTTACCTTTCAATTGGGTTTTCCATGATCTTTGTTGAGGGATGCTTGTACATTCCTAATGCTTTTGAGGCGTTTCTGTTTCTGAAGTCTGCTGAAGGGCATTGTGCCAGGGACTTCAGCTAATTAAATTGAATTGGCCCAGTTTTGTGGCATACAGATAGCATACTGTGGTATTTTATTCCTTGCTGCTCATTATTATAAAGAGTTTCTACATAAAGGAAAAAATGAGAATCTTTAACTGGAGTACACACATTGTTTGGAGTTGAGGAACAGTCGTTGCTAAGGTTGATTGTGTCTGAGAAGGCGTGTAAGAAGAGACTTAAAGGATGAGAGAGTGTCAGTCACCACACACCTCTGCTTAAGTGGGCCTGTCTTCTCTGTGGAACATGCCCAGTGCTGGCCAATACATAAGGTCATTGTGAGGGTGGACCTGCAGGGCCCGTGCCTGCTGTGTGCAAGTGGTCCTCTGTAGGCTCAGACTTTTGCTGTTTCCACTTGACACTGCACACAGTTATCTTAGAGCCAAGCACAGGGGCTGTTTTGAAATGTTCATTTGAAAAGTTCATTTACTTAACTATTTCTTTAGGTACTACTGGTGTATCCTTGAATGATTTCAATATACACCTATTCAGATCAGTTTTAACATGACACTTAGGCTTGGTGGAATTTTTTTCTTTTATCATTTTGCCTAGGGTGAGTGTTTGGATTTAATGATTAAGACTGTGGTTGAAATGCCTACACAGTGTATTGGATTACTCGGCGTGCCAATCCAAGCTTTCTTCTGTATGAGGCAGCATGAGAAGGGTTAAGTGATTGGATTCCTGTCGCCCATTTGGGAGACTGGGATTGAGTTCTTGGCTCCAAAGATTCAGCATGACCTAGCCCTGATTCTTGTGGGCACTTGGGAAGTGCATCGTGCATGGGAGATTTCTCTCTGTTCCCCACCTAGCCTCTTCTCCCCCTCACCACTTCCCTCCTTCTCTCTCTCACTCTGCATGGGAGTGTATGTGTGCATGTATGCATGCTTTTCAGGCAAGTGACCTGTTGCTTACTATAGTATTTAATGGCATAGTATTTTAACTTTTAAAATTGATTTTCAGGGAAGAATATAAATATAAAGAGCATCCCTTTGGAGATTACTGGATTAGACATAAATTCTAAGTAAGATCATGTAATTGAGTTTAGAAATAGAATTACAGGATTCTTTTAAAGTAGGATTTTAATTTTAAGAAAGTTAAAAATAATTTCTTATGTTTACCTGGATAAATGCCCTTAAGTTTCTTTAAACATTGACAAAGGACTTGTTTTTTGGATGACTGCTGATTATTTTGTCAACTCTCCAGTATCTGAAGCTCTGTGATTGTTACAGTGTGATCTTTTCATTCCCAGAGGTGTCTCCAAGCAAGTAGCCTTTCCAGTCCCTTTGAAGTTGAGCCCAGGCACCAGCTCCTCCTCCTGAAGTGCGTTTGCTTATTAGTAGGTAAAGGGCAGAGGCAGCTGTGAGATCAACCGCTATGTGTTCCAAGTTCCAGTTCTTGTTATCTAATGATCTGAGGCTAGCGGGGCACAGACTTCATCTCTAAATCGACCTGTAGAAGAAACTCACTTTTGAGAAAAGATGAATTATCCTGTAGTCGCTGAAATATTTTTTGTTTCTCTGGCATGCAAAATGCAATGCTAGAGATTGTGAGGAACGACTCATAGCGTCACACTCTGCAAGTTCCCGTTCTGTGCCAGATGCTTTGCTAAGTGCTTTATGTGGGTGATTTCATTCCTTGCTACACAGTTCTATGAAAGAGCTGTTGTTAGTTACACACACCCCCACACACATTTTAACATTTGAGGGAGCTTTAGGAAGATGCAAGCAGTCCAGCTAGGGTTTATTTTCAGAGCAGAGCTGACCTCTTGGAATTAACATCCAAAGCCTTACCTTCCTCATCTGTAGAATAAGAATAGCAAACTAGCTTGTGGAAAAGATTAAACACACTTAGTTGGTAAACGCTTGGTGTCATGTAGCAAGCACCTGATGGTATCTCATAATAGTTACTGTTTGGGAAGGATTATAGAAGGTAAATGAATAATGTGTACAACACACTTAGCACATATCAAAGCAGTCACAATTCAGTTTACATTAAAACTCAGAAATTTACCATTTTTAATACACTTATTATTCTTGATTTACAATAGCATATGTCCTAATAACTCATCATAAGTTAAACCTATTAAGTTGAAAATGTGTTCATTCTGCTTAATCTTACCAAATATCGTAGCATAGCAATGCAGTGCATTTGGAGTATTGGTTATTTACCCTTGTGATTGATAAACAGTCAACTGGGGCTTATACACTGCTGACCTGGGAAAAGATCAAAAGGCAAAATATGGTTTCTACTGAGTGCTTACAGCTTTCACACGGTCGTCTGGTTGAACAATCCTAAGTCGGGTGCCATCTGTGCAGAAATCAGTGCTTAGGGAGCAGAGCATGAGAAGGATTAGGGAAGGCACACACAGAGATGGTATAGAAGCATGCTGGGCAGTGTAGCTACGTGAAGGTGCAGAAGAGACAGCTGGGTCCAAAAGTAAGTTGGAATGAGACCTTTACAGACCCTGAGTGCCTGGCAGAAAGGCTTGGTTTGGTCTTTCAGTTGCCCCAAAATAAAGCACTAGTAGGTTTTTACACACTTGAAGTAGCATTCCCTTGGAATCTTTTCTTGCTGCCGTTATTTAATCCATCCGTTGTCTAACTTGAGATAGTTCCTTGATAGAATCAAAGCTGTTCTAAATGAGTCATTGGCTTCTTCTAATTAGTTTCTTAGGATGCTGCATTTTTGTGTTGACGGATCTCAAGTGCTGTCTCTTGTCTGCCTTTTGGAATATCTGAAATGTTCAAAAGAAATTTCCCCTGGTAATGTTTGGCACATTCAGGTTGTAGATAATGGAAACAACTTCTGGAAAGAACTGACAGTGTAGGTTCCACCTGTCAACTCAGAGCAGAGTGCTGCAGGCTGTGCATGTCACTCCACTTTTTTCTTGAGGTGATTACAGTGAAATCTACCTACAGAGTGCACGCCATCAAGAAGGTTGTTTTACTCCAAGTGTAATTATGTTTGCTGTATGATAGAGTGTTAGTGTGTGTGAGTATAAAAATAAATCTGTCAGTGTCAGCTTTTACCCTGTTTTTCTGTTGACTCAAGCATTCATCTACAGCACGGATTTTTAAAGGTATACATGCAGCCCATGTTTTAAGTGTAACAATTCGCTTTACTTCAACAGTATTACTTTCTGGTTTAGTCAGAGAATCTCTGTTTCCCATGAGTTAAAAGTAGCAATTGTGTGATGAAGATGAACCCATATGTTACAAAATGTGTGATATTGGAAGGGGCAGCGGAAAATGCAATGAAATTTCATTTTTGTGCTTCAAATGAAACATAGATGAGGTTACCGCATTCCTGTTTAACTTACACATGTGAGTGGATTTTATTATTTTTCAAATGAGGTAACAAGATTTTCGTTTGATAAAAGCATAGATAGGACATTTTTGTTAGGTCTGTGAAAATAATGCTTTTAGTTATTTGAAAGTAAATTTAGTACCATTTCCTCCAGAGAAATCTAAATTTCTTCCTTCTGGTGCCTGAATTTTAGATAAACATTGCATACCAATTTACTATGCATATGTTGTAGCAGAGAGATATTATGAAGAAAAATCTGAGTTGGTGGTTTACACCAAAGTGGTGTTTAGTATATCCAGATGTTGTATCTCAAAAAAAGAAAAAGAAAAGAAAAATGACTCACACTTTAATTAATCTGTAAGGAAAACTTTAATACCTGGCAGATCTTTTTTTGTTTTTGTTTTTAGTGGCCCCACCTATTCCTGATACACTGATAAGGCCACGTTCCCCAGAGAAAGAGTAAACCTGACATCATACCAACCCTGATAAGAAATTTAACAGGAAACAACAGTTGAGTTGATGATATTTTCCTTCATAACCTGAACATAGTTATAGAAAAAGATTTGCATGCAGATTGCTATCCTGTGAAATAAGTGAAATATTACTGGCGCCAGGGTTTGGTTAAACCAGGTATATTGCCACTACTTGAAGTGCAAAGAAGAGCATGATATATGTATGATCTTAAAAATTCATTATCATGGTTTTTTTTAAACAAGGATCTAATTATTTATTTGAAAGACAGAGACAGATTTCTATGTGTTAATTGAATCTCCAAGTGACTGTAATAGTTGCAGCTGGGTCTGGCCAAAGCCAGGAGTCAGGAAGTCTGTTTGGTGGGGGACAGGGGTGGGGGACAGTTACTTGAATCAGTGGTGGGGGACAGTTACTTGGCCCAGAAACTGTTGCCTTCCCAGGCACATAGCAAGAATCTGGGTTGGAAGCAAAACAATAAGGACTAGAGCCAGCACTCTAGTGGGGGACACTGGTTCTACAAGCAGAGACTAAACACGCTGCTCCACATCCCTGGCCCCACTTCTGTATCTTTCCTGCTGTGGTTGGAGAGCATTTCAGACGATTGCCATTGGTGTCATCAAGTGAGAATATGGAGGTTAGAGCAGCCCTGACTCTGTCCTGGTCTCCTCCCCTATACTCAGCGACCCCTCATGTCCTAATTATGAAACCACGAAAAATTTCCCCAGGTCTGAGCTCTGACCTTGCCACACTGACCTCAAACCATGATTTCTCCCTTTCCTATTTTGGTGTGTGTCCAAGGTGTGTGTGTGTGTGTGTGTGTGTGTGTGTGTGTGTGTGTGTAAGAGAGAAAGGGAGACAGCGGGTGGGAGAAAGGTTGATCATATTCTTCAATTCTTGCCTTACTTTCTTGATTCTTAATTTTAATTTTAATTTTTTATCAGATTTGTTTATTTTTACTGCAAAGTCAGATGTACAGAGAGGGGGAGAGATAACTGTTATGCGGTGTAGCCAGTGATAGCCAGCACCCATTGACAGTGGGCAAATGAAATGTGGCTGTGTCCCCCCACTCTGTCCTGAAGCTGGGTCCTAACAGCAATGGAATGTTAATTCCATCCTCAACCACTTGCCCCATGTCCTAGTTTAGCCAGGATATTGGATGCAGACAAGTCCAGTTAGTCTAGGCATTTTTTAGTTACAAGCCCAGTTCCTGTTCCTGCCCATCCCAACGAACACTAATCAACTCCTTAGTCCACAACACTTAGGTATTTGCTCCTGCCCACCTGTGACTCACCTGTCATCTGAGAGGGAACCATATTGCATTGTTGTGTAACCACTCCCCTCACAAGCCCCTTTAAAAGGCCCATGAAGCAGGGGCTCTCACTCTCTTTCTTGCCAGGTACTTCCATTACTCTGGCACCTCGACTCTCGGCTGACCCAGGACAGGTAATTCCCTGAGCATGGTCCCTGTGTACTGCTTAGATGAGGCAATGGTTATAATAATGTTTCTGGTTTGTGTGCTATCAGGTGTCCCAGGAGAGGTGAGACCTAGCAGTGATGGTATGTGGGCAGAGAAGCCAGGGAATGATGAATGTCTGCAGCTTTGTAAATGTGTCCAGGTTATTCATTGCATGTCTCTAAGGATAACTTATGTTGTTGGGGAAGCTGGGACATAGGTTTTCAGCTTAATGGATGGACTTAAGGGTAATGGCCATTTCTTCCTTTGGGAATTATGATTCATTGGATTATGATTGGTTGGATTGCCGTATGGACTTGTGATTTGCTGTTGTGCTCTTTGTCACCAAGCTTGTTTATAACAAAGACTCTTTAATAAACCTTAGACATGCTGGTGTGATCTGGCTCGCACCCTGCAACAATAAAAAGGAAGATCTACCATCCAATGATTCACTCTCAAAGTGACCACAACAGCCAGAGCTGCGCCAATCTGAGGCTAGGAGCCCAGAGCCTCTTTGGGGTCTTCCAAGTGGGTACAGTGTCCTAAGGCTTTCGGCTATCCTGGACTGCTTTCCCAGGCCACAAGCAGGGAGCTGGATGGAAATTGGGGCTGCTGGGACAAGAACCTGCACCTGTAAGAGATTCTGGTGCATTCAAGGCGAGGACTTTAGCTGATAAGCCACTGTGCCAGGCCCAATCCTTGTGTTGTTGTTGTTGTTGTTGTTGTTATTTTTAAAAAAATTGTTAGCTTTTTAAAAAATTGTTCTTAATTACTATGACAAATAACTTTAATTAAGGGGAAGAGTAAGCCCTTGCTGTCTTTTGCTTTATATTTTCAGGAAATGTTAAAGCTTTCAATTTTTTAATTGTCCATGTGTATTTTAAAAATTAGTTTGTCAAGCTCCTTCAGTTCTTGATGGATTGTTGTAGGAAATACTTTCAAGTTATACATTAATTTGTGGGAACTTTAATATGTTTAAAATGTTAACTTATTTCATCTATTAGTATCCTCTCTACTCTCTTTGGCTTATTTAAGTATTTTTAAATGCCCTTTAAGATGTTAATCTTTTCTGCCTGAGAGTTTTAGATAATATTTTGGGCTAATTCCTGGGTTTATTGCTTTTGTTGCAGCTGTGATTCGCACAGTATTCTCTGCAGAGCACCTGTTATTTAAGGTACATTATTGATGGCTCTGATAACATTAGGGATCTCTCCCTTTCCTAATCAGCTGACCCGCTCTGTTTCATCTGTAGTGATCTGTGAGAGAGAAATGCTTTTTCTTTTGTCAAAAAGGTTTTGCCTCTGTTTTAAATGACTTATTTGTAAGGTAAAGAATACGAATGGAGGTTTTGCTTTCAGCACTCTGAAGATGTCATTTCTCAATTATTTTCTCATCTTTACTGTACTATTTGCTTTAAAAGGTTTACTCTTTGTTCTATCACGTATTACTTCAGTAGTCATTTTTTTCTGTTTTGTTTTTTGTTTTTTGTTTTTTTCCCCTGATTTTAAATTATGAGTTCGCTTTTATCTTGGAGTGAGCCCAGGATCCTTTCCTACTGGTCTTGCCTGAGATTGTTTGAAATCATTGGTCTTTAGAGAATACCAGTCAGTGGTTTATTAATCAGTGTTAGTGACTAATTGATTTTCTTCCTGGTAATTGATTTTTTTTTTCTTTTTTGTCCTGTGCCCTTTCCTTCTACAGTTTCATTTCTGGCTATATTTTTGCTGGTTTTTTTTCCCCCCAAATGTTTCTAGCAGAGCTACTGGCTGCTTTCAAAGTCTTCATTATTTCCTGTTAAAGGTACTTAGGGCTCAGAATTTCCTGCTCTTACAGTTTTAGGTGCATCTCAAACGTCGGCACATTTCCCTTTGTATAGTACTTGACAGACTTTGCAGTTTTTCTTGTTTCCTCTTTATATAATCATTATTGGCTGTTGTTTTCACTAGGATGCTTCAGAAAGCGCATGGAAAAGGTCTACTGTGAAAGAATTGTATGGATTTCTGTTTTTTTTTTAACCTGTTCCAAAATAAACTTACCTTTTCATCCCATTTTTCATAAACATTTCAGAGTGCTCTTGTATGTGTGTATCTTTGAATTCAGAAACATAGGACTGCTTCTAATTGTCCTTTAATTGTCTTTTATTATTATATCGAGGTGAGAATGTAGTGTTTTTGTAATGAATTTTTGAGGCTTTTGGTGTGGGCTGTGAATGATCAGGTTTTATGAACATTCCATGGTTGCTCAGGAAGATCAAATAAAGTCTGTGTTCTAAGTTCTAAAGACACAGACCTGCTACCTTTATTGTGCTTACATTCTGTGTTTACTAATGTACCATTACTCACTTATCTAGGTCTGTTAGCTTTTGTAAGGAACACACTTCAGTGAAAATAGTTGTTTACTTATAGTTTTTCTTATGTATGGACGTTTTGTTATCACATTCTTCATCTGTGCTCTGTGTGTTGTGTGTCTGCTTTTATGCATAGGCAAGATCCCTCTTTGTCTCTGTTCTGTTTTTGGCCTTGAGTGCTATTCTTCCCCCCAGTAACAGTGTGCACTGACCTTGTTGGTTTTTGTGCTTCTTTGACATAAAAACTTAATAATTTTGATGGTGAGTGAGCCATAATTTTTTTAACAGCCTGAAAATCTGTTTTTTTGGTTATTATGTTTTATTCATTTAACATTTACTAGTTAGTTATTTAGATTTACTTACTGGAGAGAGAGAGAGAGAGAGAGAAAGAGAGAGAGAGAGAGAGAGAGAGAGAGAGAGAGAGAGTGTGTGTGTGTGTGTGTGTGTGTGTGTGTGTGGAGTGATAGGAGAGGGAGAGGTGAGGAGGTGAGGGCTGGAAAGAAACAGACACTGCTAGTTCATCCCCAAATGCCTGCAGCTGCTGGTGCTGAGCAAGGACCCAGTCCAGGGGAATGCATTCCAGGTCTCCCATGTGGATAGCAGGG